AAAAATCGCAATGAAAATCTTGGAAATTAACACTACTGCCCTCGTTATAGATTCGTAACAATGGTCCGAGTAATCTCAAGTCTATTTATATTCTCGTCTCTTTGCCCATATCTCTTCTCAATCCATGGACACTGGAGAGAGAAAACCTGATTGACACGAGTAGTTTGACGATTAAAAGCATTTACAATGGACAATATTTCGATGTCGAATGGATGCAGAACAACACAATTTTAGATTTGCATGCCGAAGACCCATTTCTACCGGTGCAAACTTTATCAACAACTAATGAAATAAATTTTCCCAAGGCTTTGATTGGGGGCCGATCTCGTAGATCACTTGAAAACATACAAGACTCTCATTTTAATCCATATTCGCAAAAAGTCGTCGAAACGAGACAAAGTCGCAGCTCAATTGCTACAGATCTAATCGACAAATCATTTGACCCAGATTTGTTCAGTGTAAATGACCGCATCTTGTCTAATCTGCCATCCAATCGTACAATTCATTTCGACTGTAAGGACTCAAATCAAGAATATTGCCTGGTGGGAAGGTTCAGGGTGTCCAATTTCAAAGCAAGTAATTCTCCTGTTTTGATCACGTTGAACTTTGCAATTGATATGGCGAAAATGGCCAGAATTATGTCGGGAAAGAGGGATATTCTGGTGATTCGGACATCGGTGGAACTTGGGGAAATATTTGACGATGACACGTAAGTTTGCTAAAATTTGATTCAATAGTTGAACTCGATTTAAATCAACCTATTTCTACAGATCCACAGTCCAAGTCGTTCAAAATCAACCGTTTACAGTAATTTCGAAATACGTGGACAATTCAACTCCTCTGTGGATTTATGTACTTTCGATTATTTTCGGTCTTTTATCACTGATTCTCATTTCGTACGCGCTGTTCAGAGTAAGTTGAGACCCTAACAATGAATTTGAAACATTTGTAATCGAAGATTTTATTTTCTTCAGTTTGGATTCTTCACACGTGGCAAAAGAGATGAATTGGTCAAACTGAAGCGGCAAAGCGAATTGATATCATATTGGGTTGTGCCGGGGGACGGCATGGATGATGATTGAAAAGTCGATTTATTTTTCGTTAAATTGTAAATAGATTTCGCATAGCATAAATCAGAAGTATTAAAATCAAAATGCCCAATTCTGTTTTCGTTATAGTTACATACATTTATTGAATTGTATTCTTATTGATGGGATTTAAGCACGCAATCCTTTAGTGTATTGGTTTATATGATGAAAGTTGTTTTTTTTTATAAATAAAAAAAAAGAATGATAATAAAAGTTCTTATGAATTACGCATATTAGGTTTCAATCACAATTGTCTTTTTGCCAATTTTTCAAAAATGCCTGAATAAACAACGGTCCGGTGTGAGTGCCAGTAAAACTGTATACTCAAACCGTAACTGTGGGATTCAAATTTTCTCGTAGCGTGCTCCTACACGGCAATAGATATAAAGTGCTTACACATTCATTCAATCATTCACTCGATCTCTATCATGCAAATTAACAAATCAACTCTCGAAAAAAAATGATAAATCATTGTGAATTTGTATTGCATATATCTTAAGGTTTAATTGCCAACAATGTTCGAATATTATATCGTCAGTGTTTTTGTTTTTAATCATTGGCAAAAAAAATTCGTTACATTGCAAATTTTTGCATTCACTCCATCGAATTGATTTTCTTGTTTGCTTATGATTTACTTGACCACAAAATTCAAATTACTAGATAAACATATTCATCTTCTCCTTTTCTTTTCTCTTAATTTACTTAAATGGTCTATGAAAAAGATCCAAACTTAGCGGTTCTAACTTTCTTGGGTGCTCGATTCGAATCGTTGCAATCGTCGCCTTCGTACTTCAGAGATTGGATCGTTTGGGTCCGATGAATCATTTTCACCAATGTCTTCGATAGTCACAACATTCCCATCAACTTCCAATGTCTCAATCGAGCTACTTTTCTGTGATGTGGATGGACCCGCTTCATCATCGGTGGTGTTCGATGGTGTGATCGGTTTTTTCTCTTCACTGTTCGATTTTGTCGTTTCTACACTATCGGACGTCGTAGCTGTGCCTGTATCTGCTTCCGTTGGAGTTGTTGTTGCACTTGATGCAGATGGAGTTGGATTGGTTTGAAGTGGTGGAAATTGGGCTGATATTATTGCGTATTGATTCATCAAAGCCACTGATGCGTCCATTAACAGTTGGATATTTTTGAGCAACTGGAAATTAAACAATCATTTAGTTTCAGTTTTAACGGCAAGACTTCCGTTTATACATACTTTGATGCGCTCTTCAACATTACGTCGTTCGTTTCCTTCAAGTAATCGAAGCTCTTCATCCGACAATTGTTCCAGATTGGTCGGTATGGTGGGAGGTGGAGTGAATGCAAACGCTGGTATCGGAGGTGGTGGAATCGGATTCATCGGAACAGATGCAAATGGATTGAATTGAAGTGGATTGGTCGAAAATGGATTCGCTGAGAATGGATTGTTGACATTTGATTGCGCATTCAAAATGTTCGCAAATGGATTTGGATCTGTGCAAGAGAAAAACGAAGTAAACCTTTAAAAATATGAAGGAATTAAATGTGCGTAGCTTTAACTGTGTCAACACTTACGTGCATTGAAGATGTTGTTTGCGTTATTGTTGTTGTTTTGGGCATTTGCGTTAGCAGCAGCTGTATTTGCATTTGCTGCATTCGCTTGATTGTTGTTGTTCAATTGATCCATGCCATCGTTTTGAGCTGCCTGCTCCGTGGGTGAGTTTGTGTTGCGTAGGATATTTAAGCGGCAAGTTGGACAAGTTTGTTGTCGTTGAAACCATGATCGCAAGCAAGCGGTATGGAAAATGTGGCCACAAGGGAGTTTCTTCGATGTGTTGACCATATCTTCGCGGCAAATGATGCAAATATTGTCAGACAATGCCAATTCTTCTGGCGTTGCGTCTGGATAGAGAGTGTTCATGTTGCGAATGGCACGTCGTGATAGAATGACATCGTTCAACGCCTTCTTGAAATTCCTAAGAAAACGTAGAAAAAAGCACACAAACAATGAGGATAACTGACATTTGTGCGAGAAATAAAACGGTTGACTGTACCTCATAGTATAATACATCGGTCTAAAAGCAAACAATGGCAACGTGTATATCCGCACCATAATGGCAACAAACAAAACATAGAGTACAACTCGAATGAAACCAATCACCAGTTCGGTGTAAAGCAAAAATACCGCCTTATTTTCCCATGGCGTGTCTGCTCTCATTTCGGCCGCATGCAACACATACTTGATGGCGATATTAGCAATCATGGTGATTAGAATTGCATATTCGAATCCGAACACCAATTGGACTGTAGCACCCTTTGCCATCGTCAATTCGTATGCATGTGAGATCATGTAGTAGTCCATCAAACCCAATACGGTGAGTAATGACGAAACTCGTAGGTGAAATAGCACACCAATCACTGGACTTCTTTCCATCTGTTGCCATAAGAGACATGGGAAAAGGAAATGTAAACATGAATAAAATCGATTCGAAATCTACGCAACGAATCAGAACATACGTAATCGACGCGCTCTTCAGCCAACCAATGGAATGATTTTAAAAACAACAGCACCGTGAACAGCGCAACAAACTTTGGATTGAAATCGTCTCGAAACACTGTAAACGCCAAACAGGTCTCGGTTAGGGCGTACCAGAAACGTTCCATTAAATGTTCAAACTCCGCCGCTCGTAATGTACCGAAAAATATCTGCAATAGATACCAAATAGCCGAGGTAAATAACACTGTGCCAAAGGAAAGATAATTCGATTGGAAATACCTTTTTCATGAGTTTGCCCATCATCAAAACCCCGACTAGCGATTGAACATAAATGACCTGAGCAAGAGAAAATTATTGACATTGTCAAGACATGGTAAGCTAAGCGGAAGAATGGTTTGAACTCACCGCCATGCTAGGATTCGATTTGGTAATGTAAACAACCGATGGATAGAATTGTTTTTTCTGATAATATGCATTTCCGATAACAGCTGACGTTAGTAAAATACTAATCACTGACAAGCCCAGTGCCCGCATCTCTACTGACATTTTATTTAACTTCCAAACAAAAAAAATAGAACTTTTCAAATTCGTCCCAGATTTTATTTGCCATCCTTCAATTTGGCCGATGCTAAATATGTGAACGACTAAACTAATTTTAAACCATCGAAAAAGTGTTTTTTTCTGTTGGGTCTTCCAATTTTTTCGATAGATTTATGTGTATTCGTTTTGTTCGTACCACGTAATTTCTTAGTTGACATATATAAAGTCTCATCAATTAACGCGTATGTGTCAAATTTGCCACTTGACGTTTACCGCTCATGCGGCAAATATGTTCTATCATCATAACGCGGCTGTTTGTTTTCGTTCAATATGTTTAAGTGGATATTTTGTTTCAGCGGTTAAAATGTCGAAAGAATTAAAATTTCAAATATTCGTTTTTTAAAATAAATTTATATATGAAAACTCTAATTTCAAATTAAAACAAATAAACTATCATTTGTTTTACGACGATAAAGCAGCTGCCGTTCGTCATTGGATGCGTTCAATGATGGTTGCGTTGATGTGCGTTGCGTGCCGTTGTTAACGCCATTACACACTGATTTAAGTTTTTGAAAGCAAAACAAGCCAACGTTTCTTCGGGACAGTTCGCCAGAATTAATGCAAACGATACCAGTTTATTGCGACCGTTGTTCGATGTTAGTTGGCGATAACGTTTCACACCACCATGAAAATAAAATGTTCTTAATCAAGTGAAAAAAAAAGTTATAAATCGTGCCAATTTTTTTGTTTTAATAAAATTCCCTCGTAAATGTTGATGTTTTAGTGGATTTTGTTCTAAATTCATTTCCGCGATGTTTATAAACGAAGTGCCGAACAATGCAGAGCTATCTGCGATCATTGTTACTGAGCTACGTGATTTGTATGGAATCAAATTCAGAAAAGAGAAAAAATCGAAAAACCAACAGGTTTGTGCAGTAAATCCAAGTTATCAGCAAGATATTTGGTGCAGATGTTAGATGAAATTCAATGAAGTTTCATCAAATGTCAGAAAAAATGTGTTGAACTCAAAGAATAAAGAATTTTTTTATTATTGTCAATTATTGAACAGCATTCGAGCCATCAGAGAATATTTGGAGTGCCATTGAACAATTTGGAATTTACGGATGTCAAGCTGTCAAATGGATCGTTGTGTCGTATACCATTGTTTGTATCCGACGCCTGTGCTCGCATTATGGATCACATTGAAGTGGAAGGCATTTTTCGAAAGGCTGGTTCGACAACTCGCCAGAAGGAAATTCGAGTATGTTGATTTTAATTTCCGTTCAATTATGGATTGTTTCAATGATTTCGTTTTTCAAACACATAGGAAAAACTCGAATTGGGCATTCCGATGGACGACACTTGGAATGTGATTGACATTGCAAGCGTTTTGAAGTTTTTCTTTCGTGAACTACCCGAACCATTGTTGCCGCCCGGCAATTTCCAAGAAACCATTCTACGTTGTTTGCTTTGTAAGGGAACGCACGAGCGTAAAATAGCCGCTATAAAAATGGTCTGTTTGCTGTTGCCCAATGTGGCGTTAAACACACTAGTCTATTTCATGCAGTTTTTAAATTTGGTGTCACTTCATTCGACCGCCAATAAAATGTCAACGAAAAATTTGGCAATCATTTTTGCACCCGGCCTAATGCCCATAAATGAAAGCTACGGCCAAAGACTGGTGTCACACGTACAAATCATTGAAATATTGATCGATAATGCACATGAACTGGGATTGATTCCTCCCGAGCTGGTACATCGTTTGCCAAGTCTTGAATTACCCGAAACCGTCGGCAATGATCCGTTGAATTTCACAATGGTACCGCAATCACGGCGATCAATTGACCCAGGTCGTATGAAAGTACCCGAAACCGATATCAAAAAGAAGAAGAAACGACGCAGCGGCTCGTTGACACGTAAGCAATGTTACTAAAATTGAATTAGATCCATATTAAACGCATCTATTCTACAGGAATGTTCAACGGTTTCTCTGATGGATTCCGAAAGATTGTAGGTGCCATTGGATCCACTGAAAATTTAGACAATAGTCACCACGAAAGTGAAATACAATCAACTCCGTGCATAAACAAATCCAAAAAACGTAAAGCGTTGGAGGCTGGTGCCTTTAGTTCAAAGAAAAAGTAAGAAAATTTGACGTAATAAGTTTTTTATCCAGCTTTATCTGATGCATATTTGAATTCATTACAGAAAAGATGTCCTGGCGCTGTTACCAACCGGTGGCATCTTGCCGTCTACTCCAATGGCATGTACCAAAAATAAGTAAGTGCTTCACAGTTCGTAAAAATGTTCAAGATTTCGCCATTTTTAAACTTACTATCAATATTTCAATCAATTTACAGGCCCGTAAAGAAGAGTCGTCTAAGCTTGGGTGGAAAGCGGTACTCAAAAAATGGATCGCAGCAGTCGAATGGAGGCAAGTCATCGATTGTTTCATCGTTAGAAAGACGATGGAGTTTCATGGTGTCGGGTAGCGGAACACGTGAAAGTCAGAAGCCGTTGTTGAATACAATTCAAGATACTACAATTTCATCCATTCAGCCGCCAGAACCGGTAAAAAAATTTGACTCATGGGAAGCTCAAATGACAAAAAGTGAATATGAAGAAATAAAGGATCGTGTTTCTGCTATTGAAACGCGAATTTCGAAAGAGTTCATCAAGCTGCAGTCGTCGCTTGCGAACAATTCAATGGATTCAGTCGATACGAATGACACACGAAACGGTCCCGAGCGGGTTCTAGAGAAATTCGAACGGACACTGGAAGAAACCGAAATGATGAATACATCACCAATGACTGAGCAGTTGGCAAAGCATTTGAGCCGTGGCCTAAAGATTCGTTCAAGTGCTGAAAACCGAGTTTTTCGATCACCAAGTGCGCGCAAAATTGGGAGCATTCGACGTAAATCGCAGGAAAATGTTCGGCTTACGCGTAACAAATCATGGCATTTGGGACCAAACTCACCAATCGTGTCAAAAAGCACACGAACCACTCGAAAATCACCGCTGCAACCAAAAGTCACACTAATCAGTCCGAATGTTGACAAACATGTTCAAATACCACGTGCAAATCTGAAACGAGGCCGACCTAACACATTCGCAAACGGATTGCGTTGCACGCAACAGACTGAAACCATAAGACCCGACGAAAAACAATCGAACGTATTTATGGTTACCGATAATTTTACTGAAGAACTGAAGAAAAATGACTTATGCAACAACGATTT